TTAGGCGAGCTATCACTAATTTTTCTCAAGCAATTTCATAAGACATGGGAAAGACTTCGTGACCTTCTCCAACAGTGTCCCCACCACAAAGTGCCTGATTGGCAACTTGTTCAAACCTTTTACTATGGCTTAACTGAGCGTCACCGCCAAGTGGTGGATTCTTCTTGTGATGGGACATTCATGTCCAAAAATGATGCTGAGGCATGGCAATTATTTGAGAACTTAGGTAATAATTCCCTTCACCATGCCTCCGTAGCCCGACAAGTCCGGCAACTAGTAGTTGGAGCCTCTAAAAGGGGGGCATTTATGAGATAGGGCAAAACCTAGAGTTAGCCCAACAAGTAGAGGCATTGTCCCAAAACATGGACCAATTATTAGCTGCGGGACATGCCCTTACACAGCAAGATCAACCTCAATTTCATGAGGCGTGTACTATATGTACGAGCCCCGCTCATGACTTGAGTGAGTGCCTGTAGCCTAGCTTTCTGTGCTGCTTTCGAAAAGCGAATAGCCCTACAGTTCGGACTCTACTTGTGGTTCTGAATTTGATTTCACAAGTGCAATGTGAAATAGTGAAAACATAAAAAGAGTCCAAATCCGACAATTCTCTTTGGAAAATCAATGTTTGAATCAAATGCCAAAAATGGATTGCTTTGCCAGATTATAGATTCACCACCTAAATATTTGTGGAAAATTTTGGAAACCCGAGACTCATGCTAAAGGCCATTAGTCCGTCATCACCAAAGTGTCTCGGTTCTGGAACTTAGGTACGAGAGGGGAAAGTCCTGAATTGAGCACCTCACTTGCCCGATCAAAGATCGGCCTTTACTAATCATGATGTGTTTTTTATTTACATTATATGCCCTTGTTTCGATTCATTAGCTATTTTTACTATGTGAAACGCACACAAGGTATAAACTAGTTTGCAAGATTTGGAATATTTGATTTCATGTTTTTGTTTCGAAATTGTTTTGTGGATTTTCCAGTTGAAAAAGTGGGCTAAAATGGACATTAATCAAGCCATCCCAATTCAAGCAACTAGCCTTCTTCCACAGACATTCAAACAATTATATCATTTAAGCAATTAGCCTCATGGTATTCATGCTTTGACATTGCAACACAAACATTTGATGTGACGTACTAAAGCAATAAAAGCTCACCTAGTACTCCGAGCTAAAACAGGTGAAAGAGTTAGAAAAATATGCATGTTCCTAACTTATGCAATATGACTAATGCAACACACATATTATGTATTTTATAGGCTCGGCTATGAGCATGGTGTATGATTGCATTTAAGACATACGAGAAACACATATTCAAGTAATGAGTTTGAACATTTGATATTGGGTTAGGATGATGAGCCGAGCCTTGGATGTATGCAAGACAAATGGATGCAAAACATAAGAATGCTAATGAAACGTGATGTCCTATACTAACCATTATAAGCAAGAAAGTAAAAGGGAGAAAGATGTGGGGTTGGAAGACATACAACTTATTACAACATTGCCCTCGTGAAGAGGGTGCAAATCTAAGTCCAAAAGTCTGAATTAAACTAATTATTACAAAATCAAATGAATAAATAACTGAGGCTAATTAACTAGCTAACTATGCTATTACAACAAGGATAACCACGATAAATAATAATAATTACAACATTAATAATTAATGAGACTAATTGTAATAAACAATATTGAATAAATTAATTACAATGATGATCATGATGTAAACGAGGATGCGCAAGGATTGCATGCATGCACATGCACAATGTTCAAGAACAGCTCTGTCTGCCCCAGGCTTGCTCTGTTTCACCTCAGCCATTGCCCTCTGTTTTCTGCAAAAATACACTGCTAACCAAACATTGAGGACCAGCTAGCCCTCAATGAAGCCCAGCCGGGCCTAAAGAAGGCCGGCCGTGCCTCAAATTTATACAAAACTCTATTTTGTGTATTGAAGTGAAATAGTGCAGACAGAGTGTTTTGGACTTTGTTTGTCCCTCTCATACTTCTCTGTCATGGGAAAGCCTCAAGAGAAAGTTAGAATTGTTTCCAAAATCATCAATGAGCAAATTGATTGCTTGATGATTTCGATGCACAATTTTGGACAAAAACCAATAAATGAAATGAACAACGACCTCCCCTCCTTCCTATCATGGAGTGAACTCAAAGAAGGAGGTAGAGACGCTTCAAGATCCATCAAAACATCATGAATTGATGTTAGACAACTCTTGACACAACAGATTCAGCATAACGTCCGACCGAACCCCAAGCAAGATAACTCATTTTCTTTATGTGAGTTGGTTCATTTTAAGCGAAATTCATTAGTCTTTACCATCCTTTAATCCATTGAGTTCAAGGTGATTGTTATGTCCATTAAAGGTTACGTCTACTAAGTGAGAAATATATCAAAATGGAGGTGATTCTCAACATGAAAAAGAGACTACACCGTTGGCAATGAACCTCCGTAGAGATTAAGCCATTAAGCGTAAATCGCTAGTTCACGTTTTGAATAACCATCAACCGATTGAAGCAACTCTCAAATGAAAGAGATGAATGACAAGTTGATTATTAAAATGAGGTTCTTAAACATGGAAATGAATTGAAGAAAATCTTAGAACAAGATACTACAAGCTATGCATGCAAACTTATGAGACAACAACTAAGCTAAACAAAGAATGAATTATTTAAATAACTTAGAACAACCCTCAAACAGCCCTCAAGTGATGAAAATCAGTGGCTAAAAATGTAAGAAAAGTGCCTAAAAAGCTAAACAACAAAGAGAAGAATCAAGGCTAGTAAGCAAGAACAAAGAGGGGTGGCTAATCCCTCCACCTTTGAAACCTCAAAGCATGATTTTTAGCCTTTTTTAAACTCTGAAAATCAGTGTAGAGAACAAAGAACAAGAGTGTAAGAGTAAAGGTTTGAGCTATAGGTAAAGGTGTAGAAAGAGCAAACTCTCTCTACTCTTTTGGTAGTTCTTCAAACCCAAACTTAGACACTTAAAATAGGATCAGAGCAACACAAAACAGTAAGAACTAGGTAGCAAATGAAAGAAATGAAAGAAAGAGAGAAGATAACAAGCTTATACCTCTAAAGGAAGTAAGCTTTTTGTTTGTGATCAAACTAAGCTCCAACACACTCTCAAGCTTGAATTATGGTGTTCAAAGCTCAACCAAGGTTACTAGACTAAGGTATGAAGGTGTGTATGGTGTATGGATATGAGTTCAAGGTGGTAGGTTAACTCAAAGAGTTGCTTGCACAAGAAGAAGGAGAAGAAGGAGCTCTCAAGGTGATATAATGGCTTTCTTGAAATTCTTTAACCCTCAAAATAAAGATATATGGTCATTTTTATAGAATTTGAGCTAGAAATATCATAAATATCTTCAAAAATGGACATTTGGCGGCCTCTCGCCCAGAACAGTACTTCTCGCTACCAAGGCCCGGTTGGCCCTCAATAGCCACGGCCAGCCCTTAATGAATTCCTCTGTTTTCTGTTTCAGCCTCAACACAAGGTGGCACAAGGTGTACAAATGAATTTCTTAGGTATTATTAGTGGGAATATGGATGGTTTGGGGTTGTTTCGAAGCTTAAACAAGGCTCCTTCGTTGAGACCTGCAACCACGCATAACACCACTTTCATCATCGAGTGTACCGGACATAGCACTCGAGCTTTGCGGGTGGTCAAAAATGGGGTGTCCATATTGCCCTTCGGCATCACAATTCTCGGAATAAATCCAAGAGCATGTGAATGTAGCTTAAGGTTTCTCCAACCTAGGTAATAACCCATATTCTAGCACATACAATCCGAGATAGAGGAACCAACGTAACTTTTTATAGAGACCTCCTTCACAAGGCACATCTTACAACCCTCCACCACCAAGGCAGAATCTTAATAATTTTGCTAACCAATCTTTTTATCGACCACCGCAACCTTACTGACAACCACAACCCCTGCCTGTTCCTCAAGGAAACTCTGCCTTTGAGACTCAGGTGTTGGAAGTTTTCTTAGAACTTAAGGAGTTGGCACCCGTAGTTCACTCCCATAATCACTCCATTGCCAAGCTAGAGGCTCAATTAAGTCAAATGGCTAATGACATGAATAGGAGAGAGGAGGGAAAATTACTTAGTCAGACTGTGGTCAACCCTAAGGGTCAATATGGAGCAAAGGGGTTAGGTGGGAATGGAAAGCACCATGAGCAGGTGCAAGCAGTGATTATCTTGAGAAGTAGGAGGGAGTTAGAGCCTCGGCCAGTTGGGTCTGATGTAACTAGGGCTAAGAAGGGTGACCATGGTGGTACACCTAATGAGACCAAGGGTGAGGGAGAAACACCTAAGGGGGATGATTTAGTCCCTAACACTTCACATGAGCCTAAGGCACCATATGTGCCTAAGGCACCCTTTCCCCAATGTCTTGGTACACCGTCTCCTTTTAATAAGAATGCGGCATCCATGGAAGCGATGATGGAGGTTTTTAAACAAGTTAAAATCAACCTCTCTCTGTTGGAGGCAATTAAGCAAGTACCCTCTTATGCTAAATTTTTGAAGGACCTTTGTACACAAAATCGTAAATCTAGGACACACGTGTCCCAAAAGGTCGTTCTCATGGAGCAAGTAAGCTCCATCTTGTTAAATGACACCCCCCTTAAGCTTAAAGACTGGGGTGTCCCAACCATTGCATGCATTATAGGGGACCATTTCATTGATAGGGCCTTGATAGATTTAGGGGCAAGTGTCAATTTGTTGCCGTACTCTGTGTACGAAGAATTCGGGCTTCGTGAGTTGAAACCCACTACTGTTATTCTTCAGTTGGCTGACCGGTTCCTTAAAGTGCCACGGGGCATGATTGAAGATGTGCTAGTAAAGGTCAATAAGTTTTATTTTCCTGTTGACTTTTTGGTTTTAGATATGGAACTGGTTGCCAGCTCTCGGAAACAAATCCTGGTGATCTTAGGTCGACCTTTCTTGGCTACTGCCAATGCATGCAAAAATTGTCGTACCGGGGTTATGGAAGTTTCATTTGGGACTATGCAAGTGAAACTCAATGTTTTCCAAGGATCCCAAAAACCCCATGATAGAGAGGAGTGCTTATTTGTGGATGTTGTGAATAGGATTGTGGATGAGGCTTTACCTTCAATTTTTGTAAAGGACCCTCTAGAGGCTTGTCTAGCTCATTTGGGGTTCGAGGATTTTGATATTGACGAGTTAGTTGAGGAGGTGAATACCTTACTTAATTCTTCTTCTACACCAAATTTTCCTCCGTGCAAAGCCCGGTTTGAGTCCCTTCCTCCTCTGTTTAGAGAGCCTGCCATACCATCCTTAGTCACACCATCTACACTTGAGTTGAAGCCACTCTTGGCCACACTCAAGTATGCATTTTTAGGGCCTAAGGATATTTTATTTGTCATCATTACATCTGACTTGACTGTAGAGCAGGAGAGTCAATTAATGAGTGTTCTCATGGCACATCGGAGTGCTATAGAGTGGCCGTGGCTGATTTGCAAGGGATAGATCCCTCCGTGTGCATGCGTTATATACATTAAGAGGAGGATGCCAAACCTTCTCGGAAAATGCAATGGAGACTTAATCCCAACATGAAAGAGGTTGTGAAATTGTTAGATGTGGGTATAATATACCCCATCTCGGATAGCAAGTGGGTGAGTCCTACACAAGTGGTACCCAAGAAATCGGGCATCACTGTTGTAGAGAATAAGCAAGGAGAGTTAGTTCCCATACGAACCACTACTGGGTGGCGAGTGTGTATTGATTATAGGAGATTGAATTCCATAACTAGGAAGGACCATTTTCCTTGGCCATTTATTGATCAAATTCTTGAGAGGTTAGCGGGGCAGGGTTTTTATTGTTTTCTTGATGGCTACTCGGGGTATAATCAAGTCCCAGTATACCCTACTGACTAGGAAAAAACCACATTCACTTTCCCTTTTGGCACTTTTGCTTATAGGCGCATGCCTTTTGGGCTATGTAATGGCACTGACAACTTTTCAACAGTGTATGATGGCCATTTTCTCTGACATGGTAGAGAAATTTTTAGAGGATGACTTCTCCGTATTTGGGCTGTCTTTTGAGGAATGTCTCTAGAACTTAACGAAAGTCCTTATTCGTTGTGTAAAGACAAACCTGATTTTGAGTTGGGAGAAGAGCCATTTTATGGTTCGCGAGGGTATAGTGTTGGGACACATTGTGTCCTCTCGAGGTATAGAGGTCAACAAAGCTAAGGTTGATCTCATTGTAGGCCTTCCTCCACCCAATTTTGTGCTTCAAGTTAGGTCTTTCCTAGGGCACGCAAGTTTTTACCGTCGATTCATCAAAAACTTTAGTAAAATATCTCGTCCTTTGTGTAGTTTACTTGCTAAGGACGGATCTTTTGTCTTTGATGAGGCATGTCTTAAAGCCTTTGAAACACTGCGAGCGGCCCTTTCTACTACCCCTATCATGCGATCTCCTGAGTGGTCCCTTCCTTTTGAAATCATGTGCGATACATCTAATTATGCCCTTAGCGCCGTCTTAGGCCAAAGGGTGAATAAAGTGCCCCATGTTATATCCTATGCTAGTTGTACTCTTTCTGATGCTCAATTAAACTACACTACCACTGAGAAAGAGCTACTAGCTGTTGTCTTTGCACTTGATAAGTTCCGGTCTTACCTCCTAGGGTCTAAAGTCATTGTGTTCACTGACCATGCCACTTTGTGATACTTATTGTCCAAAAAAGAGATTAAACATAGGTTAATTAGGTGGATTCTACTCCTTCAGGAGTTTGACCTAGAAATTCGAGACAATAAGGGATCCAAGAATGTAGTTACAGATCATCTATCTCGTATCTTTATTGAGCACACGAGTGATCCCTTAGCCTTACATGACTCATTTCCAGACGAGCAGCTTCTTGCGGTTTCACACGTGACCCTCCCGTGGTTTGCTCACATAGTGAACTACTTGGTGGTTGATCAAATTCTGAAAACTTGTCTAAGCAAGACAAAGGCCAATTTTTCTCACAAGTTAAGCACTATTTCTGGGAAAATCGAAAATTGTTCAAGTATTGCCCAGATCAAGTGATTCGACGTTGTGTGCCTGAGAGTGAAACCCATAGCATTCTCACATTTTGTCACTCTTATGCATGTGGTGGCCATTTTAGTGGGCAAAAAATGCTCGCCAAGGTTTTACATTGTGGGTTCTACTGGCCCTCTATTTTCAAAGATGCCCATAACTACTGTAGAGCTTGTAAGCATTGTCAACGCATGGGCTCTATGTCACGGCGAGATATGATGCCGATGATCCCTATTTTGATTGTTGAGATTTTTGATGTTTGGGGCATCGACTTCATGGTTCCCTTTCTACCATCTTTTGAATTTGAACGCATTTTGGTGGCTATGGACTGTCTCTAAGTGGGTTGAGGCAGTGGCCCCTAGAACGAATGACCACAAAGTTGTGGTTAAATTCCTCCATGAGAACATTTTCTGTCATTTTGGGTTTCCACGCGTCATAATTAGTGATGGTGGCAAACATTTTTGCAATCGATTCTTCGAGGCATTGGTGCACAAATACATGATCACTCACAAAGTTGGCACTCCCTACCATCCCTAGACTAGTGGTCAGGCCGGGGTTTCTAATAGGGAGGTCAAATACATCCTCGAGAAAACTGTGAGGCCCGATAGGAAAGATTGGTCCACTAGGTTGGTTGATGCACTTTGGGCTTATCGCATTGCATATATGACACCCATCGGGATGTCTCCATTTAGGATTGTGTTTGGAAAACCGTGCCATCTCCCTGTTGAGTTAGAACATCGGGCTTTGTGGGCCATTAGGAAGTTCAATTTTGATATGGCTAAAGTCGGTGACCACCGGAAACTCCAACTTAATGAGTTAGAGGAGCTTTGGAACGATGCATATGAGAGCTCTAAAATTTACATGGCTAGGACTAAGGCATTTCATGATAAACACATTTCTCATAAGTCCTTCGAGTCTCACCAAAAAGTGTGGCTGTTCAATGCCAAATTGAGTTTGTTCCTGGGTAAACTCCGGTCTCAGTGGGATGGCCCATATAAGGTTATTGAAGTCTTTCTGCATGGGGCGGTTGAGATTAAAAATCCACAAAATGGTACGACCTTCAAGGTCAATGGCTAACGATTGAAACATTAAGTGGATGGTATTGAAAAATGGAAGATGATTGAGGTTGTCCACTTGATGGACCTAATATATCTCCCATAGTGATTACTTTAAGTCTAGGAAACTTTAATTCCTCTAAAGGTGTAATTCCTTTGGTGTTAGCCGTGCTAGAACGAGATCGGATGGTCTGGTATGGCCACCTAACTGTGTTTGTAGTGAGTTCCTAGGAGACCAGCTGAGATGGTGAAAACTAGAGTTTGAATGACAAAGCTTAGAACACAAAGGTTTGGAATGACAAAGTTTGAATGACAAAGCTTAGAACGCAAAGCTTAGAGTCTGGTTTAAATACCCAGGGGTGTAGAGATTGCTTCAAAACCACCCCGGCTTGAACTATATATGGCAGCTCCATAGGTCGAGTTAGCTTTATGCGCCTTGATTCTGAATACTGAGTCAACCTAGTCTGTCACCCTATTGGAGAATAGGGAAAGTTACAAGCATTGTTAGGAAGAAAAGTAGTACCTGTGGTTTTCGTGTGAAGATTATACCATTGTTGAGCATTTAGATGTTTTCAAAGTGCTATTCACTATGCTTGGTTTCACTTTTCAAAAAACACTTTTCAAAAAATTCTACTTCTTATTTTTCGTATTTTTTTGTTTTTACTGATTTTTTAAAATATTTTAAGCAATTTTTTTTTTTTAATTTTTAGGCATATCTAACTTAGATGTATCTAAAACGTAAAAAATTTGTGAAAAAAACCTTTTAAAAATTCACTAAATACCCAAAATACAAAATAAATACGAGAATTCAGTATATTTTTTTATATTTTTATGTATTTATTAATTTTTTAAAATATTTTTTCGCATTTTTTTACTTTTTAGATACATCTAAGTAAGGTGCATCTAAAAAGTAAAAAAAAGTTTAAAATTTAAAAAATATCCACTAAAAACAAAAAAACACGAAAATCAAAAAACTTAGTTTTAAAAAAACTCAAACCAAACACACTGATTTTTATTTATTTATTTCAAATGTGCATTAAAGGTAGAAATGGTTTAAATATTTCTTTGGTTTGTAATTAGGTTTATTTATTTAAAAAAAAAAATTGCAGCAAACTGCACATGCACATGAGCGGAAGTCCCACTTAAGGTGCACGAGAGGAAAGGCCAAGATGCACGAGCGGCCCAAGCCCAAAAGTATTTTGCATAAGAGCTGCAGGAGCGGCCCATTTTCGCCGTTGGAGCGGCCAAAAATAAGCACTCATGCGACCCACATTGGCGCACGAGTGGCTTAGTCCATTTATTAATAAAAAAAATTTCCTTTAAGCCAAACCCTAGACCCTCTTTTGACCATCACCCTTTCCAGCACACACTCTCTCTACATCTCATCTTCTTCCTCTCTCTCTCTCTCTCAACCCCACAAATCCGTAAACTCCTTCCAACCCCACCATCACCAACTTCTTCTTCCTTCTTCCTTCAACTTTCACTCACTACCACCCTCCCACCGGAGCATCACTATCTTCTCCGATTGGTGATCTTTCGGCGGCCATTTTTTTCGGCGGTTCTACCTCTTCTCTTCTTTCTTTCTTTTCTTCCTATTTTTTTTTCAAGGTAATCACCCACTTGTTGTTTAAATCTCTTAGTTTTCACTTGTAATATTAGTGCATTGGTAGTTTAATAGTGATTTTTAAGCTTTGTTTATCATATTGTTCTTCATCTTCATCCTCACATAAAAAAAAAAGTTGGAAAAAAGTGGATCCGGGAAGCAACAGCTGCACGTGTGGCCCCCGCCAGCGCACGTGTAGTGCGTTGGATTTAAAAAAAAAATTGCAGTAATAATACCAATAATAATCATCTAGCTTGTTATAGCTTATTTTTGTATAATGTAGATGTTTAGTTTAATTGTTTAGTTAGTGGTTCTTGTTAGTTTAATTGGCTAGTAGATTGTTTTTATTTTTGTTTTAATTGTTTAGTTAGTGATTTAGTCTTATTTTATTTTTATTTAGTGATTTAAATGTTAGTTTAATTGTTTAGTAGTTTAGTAGTTTTTTTTTATTTGTATTTTCTGTTTTATTTGTATTTTATTTAATTTTAATTTCTTTTCTTTTCTTTTCTTTTCTTTTCCTCTTCTAAATTATTTATTTCTTTTGTTTCATACT